TTCTATCATCTATCATCTATCATCCATCTTCTCATCCATCTTCTCCATCTATATCCATCTCCATCTATCCATCTTCATCCATCTTCATCCATCCATCTATCATCCATCCTTCTCTCCATCTATCATCCATCCTTCTATCCATCTATCATCCATCCTTCTATCATCCTTCATCCATCTTCTATCCATCTATCATCCATCCTTCTATCCATCTATCATCCATCTTCTATCATCTATCATCCATCCTTCTATCCATCCTTCTATCCATCTATCATCCATCCTTCTATCCATCCTTCTTCCATCTATCATCATCCATCCTTCTATCCGTCTATCATCCATCCTTCTATCTGTCTATCATCCATCCTTCTATCCATCCTTCTATCCATCTATCATCCATCCTTCTATCCATCTATCATCCATCCTTCTATCCATCTTCTTCTATCCATCTATCATCCATCCTTCTATCCGTCTATCATCCATCCTTCTATCCAGTCTATCATCCATCCTTCTATCCATCCTTCTATCCATCTATCATCCATCTTCTATCATCTATCATCCATCCTTCTATCCATCCTTCTATCCATCTATCATCCATCCTTCTATCCATCCTTCTATCCATCTGTCTATCATCCATCCTTCCATCATCCCTCTATCCATCCATCTATACTTCTATCCATCATCCCTCTATCCATTCATCTATACGTCTACCCTTCCATCCATCCTTCAATATCTATATATCCATCTATACTCCTATGAATCCATCCTTCTATCCATCTATCTATACTTCTATCCTTACATCCATCCCTCTATCCATCCATCTTTACACCCCTCTATCCAACCATCTATCTGTTCATCTATCTATACTTCTATCCTTCCATCTATCTATATCTTTCATCCATCTATCCTTCTGTACATCCATATGTCCTTCCATCCATCCTTCTATCCATCCATCCATACTTCTACCCTTCCTTCTTTCCATCCATACATCCATCTGTCCTATCATCCACCCTTCCTTTCATCCATCCATTTATACTTCTATCCATCTATACTTCTGTCCATCCATCTATACTTCTATACACCCATCTGTCCTTCCATCTGTTCTTCTATCCATCCATTCTTCTATCTATCCATATACAGTATCAGTCTATCCTCTCATCTGTCCATCCCTGTCTATCCATCTGTACTTCTATCTTTTCTTCCTTCCATCCATCCATCCATCCATCCTTCTATCAATATATCGATACTTCTATCCCTTTATCCTGTTAAGCTATCCTTCTATCCATCCATCTATACTTCTATCATCCTTCTATCCTTCATCCAACCTTCTATCCATCCTTCTATCAGTCCATCTATACTTCTATCCATTTATCTATCTATACTTGTGTCAATCCATCCCTCTATCCACCCATCCTTCCTTCCCTCCATCCATCCTTCTGTCCATCCATTTATATATCCATCCTTCCTTCTATCTCTCCATCTCTCCATCCATCAGTCCATTTCACATTAACCCTTTAGAGCAGCTCTGACCTTCTTCTTTCCTCCAGGTTTGATTCTCTCGTTCCTGAGCTCAGATTCGTTTCTTGAGTTCAGGTTCGCGTCGTCGTCTCGTTCCTGAAACAACTCGTCCAGTATTTGCAAACCTCGATGTCGCCGCCGTTTCCTCAAAAGCCTCGACCGGCGGCGACGGCGAAGACGAGGAAACTGTTAATTAAACGATCTATAATTAAGATCTACGGCCGATCACAGCGGAGGGACGAATGACAGAACGAGGAGAACGGTTCATTTATGACGGAGAACGACAGACGCAGACGGAAAGAGTCGAGGATTATCGGGATTAAAACTGCACTGTGTAACTTTTCTGGTCTTCTTGAATCCGTGTATCAGTCGTTCATTTGTTTTTCAATATAAAACCATAAATAAGAAAATGAAAAAAACGACTATTTTCTTCATTATTTGTCTCTAAAACCAAAATGAAAAAACAGGTAATGATTTGTTTTTTTCCAGTTTTCGATTTTGTGTTTAAATGAAAAATGAAAAAAAAAAAAAACGGATAACGTTTACGTGACTTAAACTGCGATGCCGGAGTTTTGCGCAGCATACGGACCAAACCAGGATCAACCAGGACTAAAGGAAAACTAAACCAGGACTAAAAAAGTCTCTGTCTGATCAGAAATTTCCAAGCCCCCAGACGCTGAGACACAGTAAATAAAGACGATTTAACAAGTTTTCCATGGAAACCTCAGTTCAGAATTATTATTTAACCCTATAAAGCCAGACACATGAAATAATTGACAGAAAATTCTGACTTTTTTATATTTAACTCATTATTGGACCTTTGAACAAAATGTAAAAAAAAAAAAAGTCCATATTAGAAATAAATAATGTATCATATTTGATACATTAGACCTTTATGGCCATTTTATAGATCCCAACCACGTTTATTTTAGGAACAAACAAAATTCTCTTTTATGCATTTAGAACTCAGAAAAACCTTCCTGAACATTTCCTTTTATGTTTTTAAATGTCTGAACTGGATGATTTTTTGTTTTGTCATGTGGAGTCGAGAAAACAGTTTTAGTCCTTGTTCAAACACAAATGCACATCATATTTCCCACCGCACACGTGTGTGAAATGATTATAAATAAATGTTAAAAAAAAATAAATGAGTGAATCCTCTGTATTCTCCGAACCAGTAAAATATAGATTATTAGTGATTTTGTGTGTGAAATTTGAAGAGGCAGGACAGTTACACCAAACAAACAAGTCATGTAACGATCCAAATTCCACCATTATGCAATAATAATAATAATACTTGAAAACATATTTTTAAGGTGACATCTTAGTTATGAAATATTCAAAATTGTGTGTTGTTAAATTTGCCTGGAATTGCATGATTTCTGAAGATTGAATCATAAACTAAGTAGTAACATAGTGATGGATGAGGAACATAATCACAAAGACCTGTTGTATCAAATCTGATACAAACTATTTTAACATGATTTTTCTACAAAATAAAAATATGAAGACTTCATAGATTCATCTAAGAAAGTAAATGTTCATATTGAAGAATTATTAACAATATTTAGGCAATTCTTTCACTAACCTTTTCAAAATTTACAGTTGTTCCTCCAAAAACAGAGAAAATTACACCCGCTCTCCTCTGAACCTGTTATTTAGTGACAACTATGGACAGTCCACTAGGGGGCGCTGACAAGTATTTGATTGTATATAACAGGTTTTTCAGGAAAAAAATATTGATTATGTGAGTGGGGCAGAGGTCTCAGAATGTTGTGTATCAAATATGATACAAAGGGCTTTATAGGATTAAGGAGAATATTTAAATTCTGCACTATTTTAATTCAGAACTAAAAAAACAACAACATGTAAACGTGGCCACTGTGTCCTCTACCAGAAAAGTTACGTAGTGTGCCTTTAGGATTTCCACATAACAATATAAAAATCGTAAGACGCACTGAACCAAGAGAATTTTGGACAATCACAGCTTTTATTTATACAAAAGTTTGGCATTTAGTTTCTACAGACGTCATACGGAGCGACAAAAACAAAAACAGATCATTCAGACGTTCAAAAAACAAGGTATTTTCTCAAGTATTAAAGCGTCACACGTTAGTTCCATCTCAGTTATTCTCAGTTATAACAGTGGAGGAGGATTTCCCTGGATAATCACCAGGACCAATTCTGCAGAAAGCCTCAGGGCCGAGAAACATCAGCTGGAGGGCCACAACTGTCCCCCGGGCCAAAGTCTCGACCATTAAAACAGTAAATAAACACAAAACACACAGAGTTTATAACAGAACTTTTGGATATTTCCACGTATACATTCCCACTATATTAACAGTCCGTGGTTTTTAGCTTTTTATTTTACTCTGACGCTCTCCCAAACCTTAAAAAAAGTCTCATCATTTCATAAATAAATCCTTGCATTTCATTGGCTGGTCTAAAGACATGCTGTTCCCTGATTGGCCAATTCTGATCTTATATCCCGCCTTCTAAAACAAAAGAGTTGTAAATGGATTTAGATAATACTGCGTTTTTTTGTTTTTGTTAGTTTTTTTTGCTTATTCCATCATCAACTTCAAGTGTTTTGTTAAAAAAAAAAATCAATCAGTATCAGTTGTTCATTGTTTGTAGTTATCCTACTTAATTGGCTTAATTGTAAAAAAAATAAAAAAAATAAAAAAAATAAAAATAAAGGTATAGTTGGAGTCATTTCATTGGTCAGTTCATCATAAGTCCAGACTTGTAATAAATAGAAATTTTTCACAATGGCCGGAAGTGTCGCGCTGTAGGTTTGTAGAACTTCAGGTTAATGGTTTTCTGTGTGTAAATGTGTGTGTAAATGTGTGTAAATGTGTGTAAATGTGTGTAAATGTGTGTGTAAATGTGTGTAAATGTGTGTCGTATTCTCCAGCAGCTTCATAAATCTGCCCATTTAAATATTCTAACATGAACCATTTATCCACAACTATCAAGAGAAGAAAGAACAAAACTTAACCCCTTAATGCCTCAATTTAAATGGACGTATATAAAAAAAAAAAAAAAATGTGTTTGTTTTTGCCTTTAAGTAGATGGTAAATTAAATTGAGATTATTCATTCGCAGCAAAAAACAATAAAAAAATAAAAAATACACTGCAACATCTAATCTATCCAAGTTAAGATGACTTGAATTTAAAAAGTTTGATCATGATTTGAGTAAATTTCACGTGACGAGTAAAATTATCTACCAGTGGAGCAAGACTTTTTGTACTTAAAATATGAAAATAGATCTTGCTACACAAAAAATAAGCAAAAAACAACAACTTTTTTGCACTTAAAATAAGAAACTAAATCGAATGTTGCTTGAATTAAGAAAAACAGACTTATTCCATTGGTGGATCAGTTTACTCGTCAAGTTGAATCGACTCAAATAAAGTCAAATTTTCTTATTTTAAGTCATTTAAACTTACCTAGAATTTTTTATTTTTTTTTCCAGTGTAGAAATATGATTATGTTCCAAATTTGCAACAACTAAAAACAAGAGCTCGCCAAAGGTTCTGAGGAACGTCCTGCACGTGAACTGACCGGCACTGGGGGGATGTACTCGCTGTTTTGGCTTGTATCTCGATCCAAACGGTTTGTTTGTTTGTTTGTATTTGTGACACTCGTTAAAGGTTTGTATAGAGGATTTTTTAAGGGAAGAGAAATACAGCGACAGTCCTTTTTCAAATGTTGTGCATGTGTGACACCACCTTCCTCCTCCACAGCCTCAGTAGAAACATCTCCTCCCGCCTCTTTACTCCAGAAATCACACTTGTTTACATCCGTGCGTGTTCAGAATCACTGTTGAAGTGACCTGTCTAGAAATAATTTAGTGACCGACGCATCAGTTTTTAGACCCTTCGTCTGCTTCAGTCGCGCCATTACTGGAAGGAATGTCCAAGAATCACCTCAGTTTGGTTTTGCTCCTTTTCTCCTTCTCTTCGTCTTTCAGCGACCTCAAAAACGGACTTTCTTTTGCGGTGAACTGGTCGTGGATTCTTTGTGCGAATTGCGTGAAAGCTACAGTTTAAAAAAGCCTCTAAGAACCGCCGCATAAACCACGTAATCCCCGCGCGCCGACGAGTCAATTACACTAGAAACATAGGGAGTTTGATTGACAGTCTAACAGCCAATAGAAAATGAGGGAGCCTCGTTTTCTATTGGCTGATGTTTATCTGGCCTCAACACGTCCACAGTTGATGGATTTTCATTCTTTTTTTTTTTTGGTCATCATAATTACAAGGCTGCTGCATGTCTGTAATGGTATTTTAAACTTTCACTGACAGTGTGAAACTGAAAAAAAATCCTCCATACGACCTTTAAGTGGTTCAAGGAGAACGACGACGCCGCTTTAGTGAACGACTGAGCAAAACGTTATGGTTCTAGAGATGTTTCACATTCAAACTGTACTAATCTGTCTGTGCTAAGATCAACATCATGAAATAAATTTTAAATTTTAATAGTAGAACGAGTTTGAGTGAACAAGTTCCTTCTGTTTTATTCATGATCGTAACATTAGTTTAGTTCAGTTTGTCACTAAAGCGTCGTTGTCGTTTCCTTTAAGTTTTGGTCTTTTTTCTCTTGATAGTTGTGGATAAATTGACACACATTTACACATTTACACATTTACACACACATTTACACACACATTTTGACACAGAAAAACATTAAATAGAAGTTCCACAAACAAAAAAACTCTATTGGCCAATTCATTGCTACACTGTCTCCTGATTGGCTGGTTTGAATGTGTGGCGTGTTCTGATTGGTTCAGTTGGATAAGTTGACGTTTTGGTTTGGAAATTGGTTTTGGAGAGCACTGTTCTGTCTCCTGATTGGCTACTCGGTGCTCTACGTCACCTCCTTCTTAACAGGTTGAGTCCTCTGCTACGTTCTGATTGGCTGGTTGAGTCCTACGCCGTCTCCTGATTGGCCGGTGTGTTGTTTTCCCTCTCTGCCACCATCCTCTTCGTCGTCACTCTCTCCTGATTCGCCGCTTGCGTCCAAGGTCTTCTCCCGATTGGCCGGTTGAGTCCCGCGCCGTCTCCCGATTGGCCGGCGCGTCGTTTTTCACTTCCTGCCCCCGTCGTCGGCGTCGTCGCTCTCCCGCTCCTGTCTCTCTCGCTCTCGTCTCATCTCCTTCAGCTCCTGTCGGTATTTGCGCTCAATGAAGCGCTTCTGATGAGCCATCTGAGGGAAGTTATCTGCTCCGGGCCGGACGGAACGACACAGAGAGACGGAGAGAAAGAGAAAGAAGGAGAGAGGGAGGGAAGAAAGAAGAGAGAGAAGACACGGTTAGTTTATAGAACAATGTTTAAAGAGACTTTTACACGTCTGTGGGGCATTAAACCGCTCACACTGACGTATTTAGATCAACATTAGGCCTGGGGTCATTAACAAGTCGCTGATACGATATGTTTTTCGATACAATGCACTTTCAGTTCGATACGATATCTTTAAAATCTAAAAGTCTGTTAAGTTTGTGCAGAGTTAATACGAAAAAACGTCAATTTTACTCGTCAAAACAATAAAAATGTCAACACTTTTGTAGCTCTTACACAAAATAATTTCATAAAATGTACCTAAAAATACTCTTGGCGATGAACAATTTAAAACAAAATGTTATGACTGACTGTTGTGGTGATTTAAACCAAAAATTTCACTTTTTGATCTAATCGGTAATTTGTAATTGGCTGAAATTTGATGAGGCCTCGAGAAAAATGTCAAAACAAACACATGACATCACAAGGTGGAACAGGGTGTTTTCAGTTTGAGAGAAAAACTCAGACTAAATGTGCAGGATTGTGTGTTAAACTTGTGTGAATGAAACAAAAAAAACACAACTCCAGTTCTGTTTGTGACGAGGAAACGACATTAGAAAATGAATCAGAAAATAGTTTAATATCAGCACTTTAATAATGGGATTCTGTTCAAAGATTCAAAGATTCAAAGATTTTAAACTCGTCCAAAAGAATTGACAAAAAGACTGAAATATGAACTAAGGTCGTCAAAAGTATCAAAAATCACATATTAATCGATACTAAATCTAGTATCGAAACTAGATCCTCATTTTTCACAGGTGTTGATACTAAAAAAAAGTCCCACTGACAAAACTGAGCAGAACGTTTCCTGAATGTTTTTAAAACGAACACAGAGACTAATGTAACCCACGGACCTGGTCTAGACCTGGTTTAGACCCGGTTTAAATCTGTTTTAGACCTGATTTAAATATGGTTTAGACCTGGTTTAGACCTGGTTTAGACCTGTTTTAGACCAAATTTAGACCAAATTTAGACCAGATTTAGAGCTGGTTAAGACCAGTTTTAGACCAGGTTTAGAGCTGGTTTAGACTTGGTTTAGACCCAGTTTAGACCCTGTTTTAGACCTGTTTTAGACCTAGTTTAGACCCAGTTTAGACCCTGTTTTAGACCTAGTTTAGACCCAGTTTAGACCCTGTTTTAGACCCGGTTTAGACCCAGTTTAGACCCTGTTTTAGACCTGTTTTAGACCTAGTTTAGACCCAGTTTAGACCCAGTTTTAGACCCAGTTTAGACCTAGTTTAGACCTGGTTTAGACCTGGTTTAGACCTGGTTTAACCTGGTTTAGACCTGGTTTAGACCTGGTTTAGACCTGGTTTAAACCTGGTTTAGACCTGGTTTAGACCTGGTTTAAACCTGGTTTAGACCTGGTTTAAACCTGGTTTAGACCTGGTTTAGACCTGGTTTAGACCTGGTTTAAACCTGGTTTAGACCTGGTTTAGACCTGGTTTAGACCTGGTTTAAACCTGGTTTAAACCTGGTTTAAGACCTGGTTTAGACCTGGTTTAGACCTGGTTTAGACCTGGTTTAAACCTGGTTTAGACCTGGTTTAGACCCGTTTAGGTTTAGACCCAGTTTAGACCTGGTTTAGACCTGGTTTAGACCTGGTTTAAACCTGGTTTAGACCCGGTTTAGACCCAGTTTAGACCTGGTTTAGACCTGTTTTAGACCTGGCCCACTGAGGATCACACAAATATAAGACACATGGAAATAGAAAAAGAAAGTTCAACCACCAACACCGGTGACAGTTCTGAAGATGCTTGCAGCTAGCAGCCGAAACATGTCAACAAGGTAAATACACTTTACTGCACTGTCTTTAAAAAGAACCTAAGAAGTTAAAGAAAGTTCAACCATTTAAAGCTGAAAATCACATTCTGTTGTTTAAAGAAACAGGGTTTTTCTCATCGTCAGAATCAGTATGAAGTGTGTAAATGAAGAGAAAACAACTGTTACATGATTAAAAAGCTCTTCAATTCTAACTGAACATGTCCCTCTGTCCTCTGTCCCCCTGTCCCTCTGTCCTCTGTCGTCCTCTGTCCCTCTGTCCTCTGTCCTCTGTCCTCTGTCCCTCTGTCCTCTGTCCCTCTGTCCCTCTGTCCTCTGTCCTCTGTCCTCTGTCCTCTGTCCTCTGTCCTCTGTCCTCTGTCCCTCTGTCCCTCTGTCCCTCTGTCCTCTGTCCTCTGTCCTCTGTCCTCTGTCCTCTGTCCTCTGTCCTCTGTCCCTCTGTCCCTCTGTCCTCTGTCCCTCTGTCCCTCTGTCCCTCTGTCCCTCTCCTCTGTCCCTCTGTCCCTCTGTCCCTCTGTCCCTCTGTCCCTCTCTCCCTCTGTCCCTCTGTCCTCTGTCCTCTGTCCCTCTGTCCCTCTGTCCCTCTGTCCTCTGTCCCTCTGTCCTCTGTCCCTCTGTCCTCTGTCCTCTGTCCTCTGTCCCTCTGTCCCTCTGTCCTCTCTCCCTCTGTCCTCTGTCCTCTGTCCTCTGTCCTCTGTCCCTCTGTCCTCTGTCCTCTGTCCTCTGTCCCTCTGTCTCTCTCTGTCCCTCTGTCCTCTGTCTCTCCCTCTGTCCCTCTGTCCTCTGTCCTCTGTCCTCTGTCCTCTGTCCTCTGTCCTCTGTCCTCTCTGTCCCTCTGTCCCTCTGTCCTCTGTCCTCTGTCCCTCTGTCCCTCTGTCCTCTGTCCTCTGTCCCCTGTCCTCTGTCCTCTCTCCCTCTGTCCTCTGTCCCTCTGTCCTCTGTCCTCTGTCCCCCTGTCCTCTATCCCTCTGTCCTCTGTCCCTCTATCCCTCTGTCCTCTCTCCCTCTGTCCCTCTGTCCCTCTGTCCCCTGTCCTCTGTCCTCTGTCCTCTGTCCTCTGTCCCTCTGTCCCTCTGTCCTCTGTCCTCTGTCCTCTGTCCTCTCCCTCTGTCCTCTCTCCCTCTGTCCTCTGTCCCCTGTCCTCTCTCCTCTGTCCTCTGTCCCTCTGTCCCTCTGTCCCTGTCCTCTGTCCCCTGTCTCTGTCCTCTGTCCCCCGTCCTCTATCCCTCTGTCCTCTGTCCTCTATCCCTCTGTCCCTCTGTCCTCTGTCCCTCTGTCCTCTGTCCTCTGTCCCTCTGTCCCTCTGTCCTCTGTCCTCTGTCCTCTGTCCTCTGTCCCTCTGTCCTCTGTCCCCCTGTCCTCTATCCCTCTGTCCTCTCTCCTCTGTCCTCTGTCCCTCTGTCCCTCTGTCCCGTCCTCTATCCCTCTGTCCCTCTGTCCTCTATCCTCTGTCCTCTGTCCCTCTGTCCCTCTGTCCCTCTGTCCTCTGTCCTCTGTCCCTGTCCTCTGTCCTCTGTCCCTCTGTCCTCTGTCCCTCGTCCTCTGTCCCTCTGTCCCTCTGTCCCTCTGTCCTCTGTCCTCTGTCCTCTGTCTGTCCTCTGTCCCTCTGTCCTCTGTCCCTCTGTCCCTCTGTCCCTCTGTCCTCTGTCCCTCTGTCCTCTGTCCCTCTGTCCCTCTGTCCTCTGTCCTCTGTCCCTCTGTCCCTCTGTCCTCTGTCCCCCTGTCCTCTCCCTCTGTCCTCTGTCCTCTGTCCTCTGTCCCTCTCTCCCTCTGTCCCTCTGTCCCTGTCCTCTGTCCCCCGTCCTCTATCCCTCTGTCCTCTGTCCCTCTATCCCTCTGTCCTCTCTCCCTCTGTCCTCTCTCCCTCTGTCCTCTGTCCCTCTGTCCTCTGTCCTCTGTCCTCTCTCCCTCTGTCCCTCTGTCCTCTCTCCCTCTGTCCTCTCTCCCTCTGTCCTCTCTCCCTCTGTCCCTGTCCTCTGTCCTCTGTCCCTCTGTCCCTCTGTCCTCTGTCCTCTGTCCCTCTGTCCTCTGTCCTCTCTGTCCTCTGTCCCTCTGTCCTCTGTCCTCTGTCCTCTGTCCCTCTGTCCCTCTGTCCTCTGTCCCTCTGTCCCTCTGTCCTCTGTCCCTCTGTCCCTCTGTCCCTCTGTCCCTCTGTCCCTCTGTCCCTCTGTCCTCTGTCCCTCTGTCCTCTGTCTCTGTCCTCTGTCCCTCTGTCCCTCTTCCTCTGTCCTCTGTCCCTCTGTCCTCTGTCCTCTGTCCTCTGTCCCTCTGTCCCTCTGTCCCTCTGTCCCTCTGTCCCTCTGTCCCTCTGTCCCTCTGTCCTCTGTCCCTCTGTCCCTCTGTCCTCTGTCCTCTGTCCCTCTGTCCCTCTGTCCCTCTGTCCCTCTGTCTGTCCTCTGTCCCTCTGTCCCTCTGTCCCTCTGTCCCTCTGTCCCTCTGTCCTGTCCCTCTGTCCTCTGTCCCTCTGTCCTCCTCTGTCCCTCTGTCCTCTGTCCCTCTGTCCCTCTGTCCTCTGTCCTCTGTCTGTCCTCTGTCCCTCTGTCCCTCTCCTCTGTCCCTCTGTCCTCTGTCCCTCTGTCCCTCTGTCCTCTGTCCCTCTGTCCTCTGTCCTCTGTCCTCTCTCCCTCTGTCCTCTGTCCTCTGTCCTCTGTCCCTCTGTCCCTCTGTCCTCTGTCCCTCTGTCCCTCTGTCCCTCTGTCTCCTCTGTCTGTCCTCTGTCCCTCTGTCCCTCTGTCCTCTGTCCTCTGTCCCTCTGTCCCTCTGTCCTCTGTCTGTCCCTCTGTCCCTCTGTCCCTCTGTCCCTCTGTCCTCTCTCCCTCTGTCCTCTGTCCTCTGTCCTCTGTCCCTCTGTCCCTCTGTCCTCTGTCCTCTGTCCTCTGTCTGTCTCTGTCCTCTGTCCCTCTGTCCCTCTGTCCTCTGTCCTCTGTCCTCTGTCCCTCTGTCCTCTGTCCCTCTGTCCCTCTGTCCCTCTGTCCCTCTGTCCCTCTGTCCTCTGTCCCTCTGTCCCTCTGTCCTCTGTCCCTCGTCACTTCCTGTTTACTTTGTGTGTCTCTGGTGTAAAGTCGGGGAGTGTGACGGACACGTGGAGCTGACGCCGCGAT